GCAGCGGCGCTGGGATCGTTGTGTTCACTCCCAGGGGAACTACTTCGAGGGTGATGGATGAATTTAATACCTGAGATAAGTGTACGGGTTTTTATACGCGCAGTCTGGAAACCTTCCGATCGCACCTCGTATTTCATGACATCTGTGTTTTAAATGAGTCATAATTTATTTTCTCGATGAGACGTTTCGAGCTTCGCGTGTTTTGCGGTCAGGAAGTAATATATGACTGTTACGAACCAAATTAATTTCGTGGGGCAAGTTTTCAGTGGTCGCGGAGATAAGAAATGCAGGCCGACGAACATGGCCGACGTTGAAGTGTGTATTTTGTCGTCTTGTGGGGATAAATTTCAGGGAGCAGTGTCCCGAAGACACTCACCAGGATTATTTGAAGGAGAACTTCGGTGCACGCCATTTTACGTTGTATTCCCGTATTCAGTTTTCGTTAATTATAAGTAATTTTGCATTTATTTACAGTCTGGAGGTCAGACACGTTTGTGGTCGAAGGCTTAATAACGTTTAGCGCGTTTACGTAGTTTGACGGTTGTGGAACGCCAAGGGATGATAAAACGTGAACCGTTGGCACTTATGAAACGATGACAGGGTCATCTGTCCTAATTCTCCCCATAATTAACGTGTGTAACCCTAAGTCTAAAAGCCGACACTCGTAAATCGTACTTCATTGTCAACTATAAGAATAATTCTCATTTTTCTCGTGTAAGGTAAAACACTAGTTTTATTGAAGACGTCTCTTGGCAAGAACACAAATGCCAATTATGGCGAAGGCATCGCATATTTATATTATTTATTTTCTCTAGTTTGAGGTAGGTGTCAGCAGCATCCGGCCACTCCGTGGGTGGTCCTGCTCTCATTACGCGGCCATTCAGAGCGATTAGTCGAAGCAAATTCAAGATCGGAGCGGGAGGCTGGCTGCAGGAGGCCAAGGGAAACTTTTCATCTTTCTTTGTTTTTGTTTCAACTGTCGTGCCAAAGGCTCATTCACATTGGCCGGCCACCTCTCGTGAGTTCGGCATTTTGCAACTTAATTCACTTAAGCGCGCAACAGTTCGTAATTCGTTAACACGTTCTACATATTTCAGGAAAGCGCTCTGTATATCAGTGGACACAGCCTCCATATGTCTCAGGTTAAGCACGTGTCCCAGCATCATTTAAATTTGTATTGAAACCACATCTCTGCTCGTGGTCCCAATATTATGAGGGGAAACGAATAGCTGTGTGGGAGACATGAGAAGTCAGCACGAAATTTAGTCGGAAAATGTCAAGGGAAGATGATACCTAGGCGTAAGTGGAGTGATAATATTAAAATTAATCGTAAACAAAGAGCATGAAGGCGTGTGGATGTCAGATGACAAACAAATGCCGTGCAGAGGTGCGTGTGAACGCTCCTCAAGGCTCGCCATCTCGTAGCAGCCAGCCTTCACGGCATCTTGAATCGCTTCGGTCACGCTTCTCGCGGAACTGTCTCTCTCTCTATCTCTGTGCCCTATAAAACCAAGGTTTCTTGGATCGCGACGTATCTGAACGGGCAGCCTCAATGGTCGCTGATAGGAAAAGCCTCTCTCTTGCCATAACGCCATTGCAATCTCAACACGATAAGACCGTGTCTTAAATATCAGTCAATGCTTGTCTGTTTAATTGGCGTTTGCTTACCCCCTGAGGGTTATGTTTAAGGAAATACAAAGAGGCAGTGTTGAACTTCACACTAGCGCATGACGGGGGGATTGAATTAAAGACGATTCTGAGGGCATGAAGCAACAAGAAATACAATTTTAGTTCCTAGTTTGAACTAGGAACTAAAATTGTATCTCCATTCACACACAGAAGAAGGCAATGGCAAACCACTTCTGGATCATCTGCCAAGAACGTATATGAACAGGTCCCAGTCCGAGAAAAGGATCGAAGGATCCTGTTCATATGGACCTGTCGTCAGACAGAACACTAAATAATAATAAG